TTTCCCTCGGGTTGCCCTCGTGTTGCTTGCACTGGGCACGGGCAGATCTTACCCCTCACCCTGGAGCACGTGTCCTACAAAGATGCAGGACAAGGAGAAAGAGAGGATGGACCCAGTAGGTGTATGTAGCTCCAAATGAGATTCAGATTCACAGATCCATTCTTGGTCCATGACTTCTACCTCATTAAGGCAAATTTCTGACTTTCTCTCCACCTCCCTCCCCTCACTGGTATCTAGGGCTGCTTCTCCTGTGACCTCTTTGTCTTTTTTTTTTTTTATTTGCTAAAAATATAAGTTCCTTAAGGCCATAGTTTGTGCAGGCTGGTGTCCAGCATCAGGTCTCCCACCTGCAGGGTTTACAGCCCAGTCACTGCCCAGGTAAAATGATGAGCATGAACCCAATGAGAGCAGGAGGGAGCAATAGACCCTGCTGCCCATCTAACTGGTGGTGAGAGATTTGTGGCCAAAGCAAGGACAGAGCTGCTTTTAGGGATCAGGCTGGGTCTCAAGGGAAGTATTTATATCTGGGTAGAGGGAACATCCAGATCTGAAATCCAACTTGCACGACAGCTCTGGTAGCTTTAGCTATGAAGTTGTGTCTTTTGTTTCTCTACCTGTTGGTTAGTCATGGAAGAAAACTAAAGCCAAACTGGGAATGAAAAGACCCGTTTGCAGGTTTCTGTGTGGTGCATGAGAGGCAGCAGAGCTGCTCTGGGGCAGGCTGCTGCTCAGGCTGCAGGATTGATGCTGCCCAAGATGCAGGATTGATGCTGCCGAGGATGCAGGATTGATACTGCCCAGGATGAGCAGAGCTGCTCTGGGGCAGGGTGCTGCTCAGGGTGCAGGACTGATGCTGCCCAAGATGCAGGATTTATGCTGCCGAGGATGCAGGAGTGATGCTGCCCAGGATGCAGGAGTGATACTGCCCAGGATGCAGGATTGATGCTGCCTCCTCCCTCCCCACCTGCAGCCCAGGGTTGCAGCCCAGCCCTGGCCGTGGAGTGGGCAGAGATCTGCTGTAAGCTGGAGCTGTGTTTGAAACCCCCTCCATGCTGCTCAGATCTCCTGCATTTGTGGTGTTGGACTCTGTCCCTGCGCATCTTCACTGGGTGATCTTTCTCTCTTACATCTTTTAATTAGGACAGTTTCTCTTGGCCTTCTGGAAATGCTTTTCTCATGTAGATTAGTTAGAAATAAAACCTGTTTCTGACAGTTCAATGTGCTGTGAGCTCTGGTCAGGATGCAGGCACTTTCCTAAGCCATTATTCATGACCCCGTTCTTGATTCTTATTCACTTTTAAACCATGCTTTGTGGGATGTAGGACCAGTAATCTTAGTCCTTCTCTGTAAAGTTACAGGCAGAATTAGTCCAGCAGTGAGAGCAAAGCTGAGCATGGACCATCCCATCCCATCTACCCTGGGGGCTGCAAAGCCCATCCCATGCTGCAGAAAACCAGATGCCCTCGGGCAGCTCCTTTGATTCAGGATTTGCATCTCTGGTCAGCAAGGCTTCCTGGCTTAAAACCTGGCAGTGCAGCTACTTCCAGCCACCTTAATGCTCTTTGCTGCCTTTCTGTTAGCAGCAGCTGACTCCTTTGGGCTGTGCGAGGTGTGAGACAATCCTCTGAAGACTTGGGCAGCCAATAAACCAGTATTGGCATTGTTCTGATCTTCCTCAGGGGGGTCTATTGGAGTTCTAGTTTGATTGGCCTGCAGGATTTGCAGAGTTAGGATGAGCTCTTGGAGAATATTAACCCTTTTTTGGATGCCTTCAGTTTAGTTTCATTTTTGTCTGATGAATTCTAACATAATTCCCATAAAAAGTTACAGTTCTGTATCTACAATGAGTTTGGACAAAGTTCCATTCCTTTGCAGTATGAATCTGTCTAAGGAATATTAAACCTTGTATTTCAAAGCCAAAATGAAGAGCTATCTGTTACAAATTGGATCAAATCTAACCCAGCAGGCAGGCTGATGTGATACTGGCCTGCCATGAGGTCCCACTGGTGATGGGAGATGGGACAGGGGACTTACATGTCTCAAGTCTAATCCAATCTGGGACCCACCTACTTCCATCTTTTCCCTCTACCAACTCTCTGAGTTCTCTCAGGGACCTTTTAGTAAGGTTTCTTAATTTTAATTTCTTATAAACAGAGCCTGGAGAATAAATAATGAATTTAACATCTGTTCTGCTGATAAATTAATATATAGTGTGCAGCTTCCTTGGGTGTCTTCCTGGGACCAGATGAGAAAAGTGCTCTGATGAAGTGGGATTTTTCTTATCATGAATATTTATATAAGAAGTCTCCATACCTTGATAGTTCCTGGAATATGAATGCAAAAGGAGAGGAAGTGGATTTTTTTTTTTTAAGTGTTTTCTATGCATTCTTTTTGTCATTTTTGAAGACTTAGAGACTGTTTTGCTCTTCCATAGCAAATTCTTGAGTGCAGAGCAGCATGTTAAGCAGTGGTGGCAGGACTGCACTGTTTCTATCCTAAAGATGCTCTTAGGGCAGCAGGCAGCAGCTGATGGAGCACAGCTACACCTCTACCTGGACCCAATAATTCAGCAGAGCTAGTCACAGGACAGTGTGATTTGTGCTCAGCAGAACATGCACTGATTGCAGTGTTCAGCACTAGGAGAATTGCTGCTGGCATGGCTGGAATTCAGGACAAGCCTTTTGCTGAGCTGCATTTAAATGTATAAAATGTAAGAGCATCTTAGTAGTTCCACTTCTCTTGGGCAACTTGGAATGCAATATCATAAGAAAAAGAAAATATAGTGGTGGTTGTATGTGCTACCTAGAATAATTCTGCTTAAAATCCTAGGGGATGTTGGAACACTGAAGGAGAAGGGGAAAGCAATGCTGAGATCAGGAGCCAGGTGTGGAGCTGGAAGGAAATAAATTTTTAGGACAGTGCTGTGACAACAGATGGGTTTCCAAATTGAAAAAAAAAACTTACAGTGTCTGGAAAGAAACGAAGGGAGGCAGAAGGAAGGAAATATTACCATGAAAGATATTCCTCCTTCTGATGGGGAAAAGTGAATATTTCAAATCAGCAGCATTTTCTGGTTTAAGTGGTGGAAAGCAGCCTGCAGCAAGGAGTTATCATTCTTGCAGATTTTGTTGCCTGCAGTACCCATCTTCTTACACTGGCATTTGGTCCTCTCTGCTGAATGTTGACATTTATACGTTTTATTATGACACTGCCTTGCAAGAACTACCATCAAAGCAACAGATTTCCCTCGTTTGCAGAGCACAGCTGTGGGAAATGCTCCCCTGGGTTGGAGTGCTGTGAGATATCACTCACCCAGATGGGGTAACCACCAGCAAATGTCATTTCAGTTGTTTTCCCAGCTAAAGCCTGTGACTTTGTGTATTGGATAGGCAAAAGATGAGGCAAGTATTTCACTCAGTGTGCAACAAAATATTATGAGGTAATTTTATTTTTGTTCCCATTTTTAGATAAAAATATTACAGTATACAAGATAATCTTAGTAAAGGTAAAAATACAGTATTTTGCTTTTTCTCTAAACAGATCTACATACAGTACACTTTTTTATTTTATTTTTTTTAATATTTTTTGTACAAATATAACTATTATTCTATTAGGCTATCTGTATTCTCATCTGGCACTTAAGAACTGCTCACAGGTCGCCTTCTGGTTCTGCTTGTTTTTCTCAGCAGACACCTCAATGTAATGTTCATCTTATAAGTATCTCTTGTAAAAAAACAGTACAGTTCAGTGGTTCCCAAGTAATAAGGTGTGCTTTAAGTCATTGAAATCATGTAGTTAAACTCAAAACCCCAAGCAATCCAAGTTTGCTGTTGTTTTGCACAGACCCATTGCTTTCCAGCTGTATAAGTGCAGTCCAAGGACTTGTATTCCTGCAGCCTTTAAAAGTTTTAATCCCTTCCTCATCCTCTGTAAGAGCCAAACTTATGACAATAATTTCTACAGTAGTTTTTCCTTTATTTCGTTTTATTTTATTTTTTCCAGAATGTTCTCAGTGGAATTGAAGCCTTGTCATATTGATTTAGAGTTTTGCAGCTTCTGGGCTGTATTCTTTGTGATTTCTCTCACCCTGTGGCTCACTGTTTGATCTCTGGAGTCTGAAAGCTGAGCTCTGTTGCATCACTGTGGTTAGATTCATGCTGTACCTTCAACTGGACTCTTTAGCAAAATATATGGTATTTCTGGAAAGTGAGTGTCTCATCACCATGAATATTTCAGTACACTGTTGTTGAAACAGGGATCTTCTAAGGATAAAAGAGGCTGGGTGTGTACAAAGAGACCATATCCATTAGTGGACTAGATAATATAGCTGGAAAAGGTGGAGTTGAGTTTTTGGCTGGGAATCCTTTATTCTAGCAGAGGGGTGAAGGGATGTTTTACCCAAAGAGCTTGACTCATTGTTTCCAATGCTGTCATCTGGTCTCAAAGGTAGAGGACCTCTACCTGCCTTAGGTTGCCTTGGTCACTTCAGCAGATGACTTCTCTTTTGCTTTTCATTAACCACAATGCTGTCCAAACTCACCTTCATGGATGCCCGTGTAAACATAAAAGGAGAATGCACACTCAAGGGCAGGAATCATTAAAATCTTTCAAGGAATATGCTTGGCACACTTTTTTCTTCAGACTTCACTCAGTTTTGATCCACACAGTCTCAGTATTAACAAGCTCAGTTGCATTTTCTAGAGTCAGATGGGTGAAGATCTGGGGTTTTGGCCTTTAACCAGAAGTGCCTTTCCTATGGTGCATCTATTTCTGATGTCAAAGGGCATATATTTTTACCAGTAAGTCACTTTTGTGTCATAAAAGATTTAACTGGTATCTTACCAAGCACAGGAGTAATGCAAAATGCTCCTAAAAACATTTGCTAGTTAGCAAAAGTTGAGGGTGTGGTACCCATCTTTTACATGGTTTTTGCCCTTCTGAGATGCTGGTTGAGACTGAATAATGTTTAGAAAGCAGGTTGCTTTTCTCTGTGTTCTCCATCAAATGTCCTTATTTAAGTTTTTCCCAAATTTGTCACTCAGCTGCTGTATTAGTCTTGCCAGCTCGCTGGTAGCTTGTGACTTTTCCTCTAAGAGTTCATAGCGGAGACTAGAAATATCTTGCTTAATCTCTTTAAGTTCTCCTAAAAGGAGGAAAATGTTCTTGTTAGCAATATAGAATTAAGTAGTATAAGTATGATTACAAATAAACCCTATGATTTTAAGACCCGGGAGAGCATTAATTTCAGTGTGCTTGGTCATGAGTTTGTGTGGAGCTCGATGTGAGATCCCTGCATGTATCTACTTAATATTTGTTCTTTTAAGAAATAAGCTGGACTTGCAGTAGTGGTACTGACAGCAACAGCAAGTATGTGTGGAAAATCACCTTTTCTCTCAAGTTCTCTCTCCACATGCTGATCTCCACCAAAATAGGGCAGTTGCAGGAGGGTGGCAGTGAAGAGGTTTTAGAAGGAGGTGCTTTTCCATCTGCATATGAATCCTACATGACAAAATGAGTCTTTAAGACCTGGGAGAGCATTAATTTCAGTGTTATAAGTTTGTGTGGAGCTCGATGTGACATCCCTGCATGTATGCACTTAACATTTGTACTTTTAAGAAATAATCTGGACTTGCAGTAGTGGTACTGACAGCAACAGCAAGTATGTGTGGAAAATCACCTTTTCTCTCAAGTTCTCTCTCCACATGCTGATCTCCACCAAAATAGGGCAGTTGCAGGAGGGTGGCAGTGAAGAGGTTTTAGAAGGAGGTGCTTTTCCATCTGCATATGAATCCTACATGACAAAATGAGTCCTTATCCAGTTCAACAAAAATGTCCTTGGGGCAGGCGTGGGCACTGCACTCAGAAATTACCTTAGACACCAAGGTAAGGTTGGGTGTTGACAATACCCTGGGTGTTGTAAAGTAAGGAGAGGTAGAGCTATGGGCAGAGCAAGACTATGTAAAGATGTTATGAGTTATGTGTTCTGCTGAGGAGAATTGAAGACTCAGAATTTCAGGAGCATAAAGGTGGCTCCAGGTCAGCACTGCTCACCCTAGTGCAAGCTTGAGCATGCTCTCTCTCTACAGAGGATGCTCTCTAAGCTCAACCCCCTTACTGGCCATATCAGTAGCAATAACACTAGGTGCTCTAATCAGTGTCAATTATAAAAATCCACTTGCCTTCATTGACCTCATCATTTTCTCGGTCAACTTGAGCCTTCAGGACGTACCGCTTGATCAAACGCTTCATTATTTTCTGACAAGAGAACAGAAACACTGAGCTTAATATGCCCTTATCAAAGTTGACTTAATTCTAGACTTGATAGGAGCAATTCAAACACCTGATTTTGCTATGGATAAAACCTGGCTTCAGAGGATGCAAAGAGAATTTTTTAATTGATTTAATTGATTTAAAACATAGATGATTCAATAGCAAGTTAAGAAATGGGATCCAGAGCCTTCCTTTAGGATGTTGCTGTTTAATGTATTAATAAAAAATACTTCACAGGAGGAAATAAGTTCTTAGTTAATTATTTTAGCAAACTCACTCATGATGATGAACTAAACATCTGACCCAAGATTAAAACTCTGCCTTGTAATTGAGGTTTTAGGAGAGAAAATAAATTTAGTAAAGGACAGAGAAAAGAGTTTGAACAGAAGTGGAGAACTTGGCTTAAGTGAAAGAAGTTTCTTAGGGAAATGACAGATCTTGAAGGACATGCATGGGGTTAAAAATAGTCATGTAACCTTGTAAAATGGGAGATGATGGTTAGTAAGGAACAGCATATATGGAAGTAATAGAAGATGGCTGTGGATATGGGCTTGCAATGTGATATTGTTCCAAAAATGTCTAAGTAACATTCATCTAGAAGGAAAGTAACTTTGGCAGCCTTGGGCTCCACACTGGGTTACAGCTGAAGGCCAGATCCTCACCACAGAAAAGACATTCAACAATGGGGGAAAAAAAATCTCAACTATGCTAAACATAAAAAGGATTGCTCTATCAGGGACAGTGATTTAAGTACAGCCTCTGCAAACAGAGGAGAGCTCAGTGAGCATCCAAGAACAGACACACAGATGTCTTTCACTGGCCAGATGGCTGCTGTTAGGGGAAAAGCCTCTCCCAGCATGGGCTCACTTATTCACAGACCAATCACATCCCTGCTTTGAACATCACTTAAAAATGCTGCAAAGAGTGTGAAATACAACTTTAGCAATTGGTACACCTGCTCTTATTTCTTAGTAGCCAAACAGGGACTATAGCAGTGCCAAAGGCATGTGAAAATCAAGAAAGAGCCAGTCATTTGTGTGTGTCATGCAGTCATGGAATATGGGATGTCTGAGACTGTCCTTGGCTCAAAGAGGCAGCTGGCTAAGCAGGAGGGGCATTAAGGCAACAGAGAGGAGGCACAGTGCACGTACGGTGTGTTGAAGGTGGCCAAGGTAGTAGAATCCAGAGGGAGGTAGGGTTGTCACCTGAGAAAACATAAATGAAGTAACGTTTGGGGAAAGTAGGGAAATGCTGGATCCAAAAAGAAATTATTGTCTCAGAACAGAGGAAATGAAGACTAACCCCAAATGGAGGCTAAACCAAGGAATCAGCACACGGTGAATGCTCTTATTACCTGGAAAAATATGAGAACACGTTTCTCTACTCCAGTTCCCACAGAGCCTCTGTTTTTGGTGAACACTACTCCAGTGTTAGCCTCTATTAACCACGATGTGTGATGGAAGTCACAAGCTTAAGGCTGCCCAGTCTATCAAATACATGTTGCAGTCAGATTCATTAACAGAAACTAAATATTAAAAATATGACCACTTCTTGACAAGAGTCTACTTAAGCCACTTAGTAGATATTTCCACTTATAGCTTTAGGAAAGGAATTAATTTTTGCCTCAATAATGCACTGTGGCTTCTAACTCTTGCTTCTCCCCTTCTCCCAGGCACTGCTCCTTTTGTCTACTATAAGTGAAGGAGCCTCTTGGCAAAATAATCCTGGTTACTGCAGGGAAATGTTGAACAAAACGTACAGACAGCCTCTTGGTAATGAAGGTTAAACTTGAAACAGTTCAAATATGTCTGATTTCTATAAAGTACTGTTCCCCCATTCTTTAAAAGTTAATTGAAATTCTTCAGGTTTTAGAGATCTTTTATACTATGCAACACTCAGCTACTGAGTGTTGAATTTAAAATAGTCTTAAGAGAATAGGTTCTAGGAACAGGTCAGGCATTTATAAATTATAACTCTACACAGAATTAAATTTTATTTTAAAATGCATTTATTGGCACAGCCTTCAAGTTCTGAATTTCCCATCAGCTATCTGAACACCTTCTACACCTTCTAGCACAGAGGTAAATGAGAAGAAAAGGACAGATTTGTGGCCAAGGTACTGAAATTGGGCTCTTGAGATCTGGGACTCAGGTTCTGGTTGAGTCATAGGCTTTTAGGGTTTGATAAGCCCTGCTGGACCTCAGTTCCTTGTCATTAATGTGGAGGCCATGATGTCTTCCCACTTCACTATTTAGAGTGTTTTAACCTGGACTTCACTTATATGCACTGTTGAAGATCACATTGTTACAGACCTCAATATTGCTGTTGAAGTCACAGATTTTTTTCTGAATGCTGTGTGTATTTGTGGACAGTGCTGCAGATGTCAATGGGAAGAAATGCTTTGCACCTTTTAGTCTCTGGTGAAAATCAGACAGAAGTCAGCAGTGATCTAGAGGGGACAACTACTCACTGGGGCATCAGGTCTCAAACCTGGTGATCCCAAGAGAGTGGAACAAGCAAAGGAATTTTGTCCCTCCAAACAGAAAAAAAAAATATAAAGGTGTCATTTTGCCTGGACCATTTTATTCCTAGATCACAGCAGCTGTGTGCTCACCTCTCTCCCTGCTTTTCAAATTATTGCATGTGTTGATTCTGTTTGTTTTTGTTATCCCTCAAGAGCACTGTCTGTACGGAGTCAAAGTACACAGACTGCAGGCACATCACTTGATAAATACCACTAAAGAAAACAGTTCATCAGGAGACTACTGATAAAAAGGTCTTCCCAGTTGTAGAAGAAAGCTTGCTGGCCAGATTATCAAGCTCTTTGTTCTTCTTTATATTTAGATAACCAAGACTATTACACTCTCCTTCTGTAATTTGGGCAATTTCTTCTGGCAGCAACTGAAACTTCTAAGATCATTTGAAGACAAACTTAGTAGGAGTATTATTAAAGCAAAATAAGAGGTAGTTATCTCTTTCTATCTGTTTTCACAGCCGCCTTTGGCTTTTTCAACGTTGGAAGTAAGGATCTAATTTACCACAAACATTAGGCAGTCTCATTTAGAAATAATAGCTACAGGAAGAAAACAAGTCCAGCAGAGGCTGACACATTTCTTTTGAGTTTGAATGGGTGGGAAAACATCAGAGATGCTGAAATACCATTCTGAGTGGGACACAATCATCTCTTCTCTTTGCCTCTGGTGGTATCAAGCCAACTAACTCCAGCTGCTAGAGTGAACAAATCCCTTTCCTAACTTAGATCTTTAGATACTCCTCCTATCCTTGCAGAAAAGCCTGAACAGCTTCTAAAACAGGTAAGAATTTCTTACTTATCTGCTGTGCAGGATCTCACAGTGATGGATGCTGTACCAGCACAAGATAAACCCCTTGAAGCATTACCACTGCACATTTTACCCACTAACTATTACTTTCCTCCACAATAATGTCAGTTCCTTCAGGTGTATCACTTGCTGTCAGATTCCTTTTCACTTTATGTTAAAAAATAAGGGAAAAAAACACCTATAGGGAACACCTTGTCTATTGTGTCACCCTACTACACATGGTTGCACAAGAAATAATACATCTGCTGGCATGAACACTCCAGCTGAGACAGCCACCAGCAGAGCCACAGGTCTTTTTGAACCATATCACATTGCAGGTGTAGCTTGGTTGGACAAGTCAATGCCAGAGAAAGCACATGCAAATGTTGATGCAAAGGCTGGAAGGATGACTCTATGTCATGACAAATGAAATGCTGTCAATGCAGGACAGGAGGATTAAAGCCTGAATGATATTTCTTGTGTTAAATTAAATACCCTTGAGAGGACTTAATTAGCATGACAAATGCTAACACCATGTGTATTTCCACGGGTGACAGGCTGTGTTTGTCACTGAATTGTCCCAGCCCAGTTCTTTACTGGCATGTCACAGGGTGGCAGTGACTAGAAGAAAGCAAACATGACCCTTGCAGGTAAGAGCTGTTCACCTGCAGATCCCTTCCCTGGCTCTTGCTCTCTTGCTGTCATTACCTGATATCTGGTGGGCTTGTTATAAGCATTCTTCCCAGAAAAGTTTTCTGTACTTCGAGTGTTAGAGTGAAAACGAACTTTCTGAAATTATAAAACATCAGGATATAATTAAATCAATGATAGCTTCTCATACCCAAGCAGCCCCAAACTGAAATACGTAGAAATGGTTCAATGTGTAAATAGAATAAAAGCCAAAACATTCAGGTGTTAAAAAGTAAACTTTTGAAAGAAAGAAAAGGGTCAAAACCCATAAATTACTGGAAAAAAAAATGGATTCAAATTGTCTAGAGAAAAATGGTATTCTCATACAAGTTTTAGGCAAGATGATGATAAGAGGCACAAAATGTAGTAATCTAAGATTAGTGATTATCAACTTACAACACAATTTAAGAAAGGAAGGGAAAAAAACATGTTTAAAGAGAACAAATCAATGTGGTACAAAGAGGAATTAGGAAACAGAATTGATTTTCATCAGTGCTTTTCAAACAGCAGTTACCATTTGCTACTTTTTTAGCTCAAAAAAATATGAGGGTTTTGTAGATAGAGCAGAATTTTTTATCGGATGACAACTCAGCTAATGATTTAGTACTCTAGAAGCTTCCAAGGAGACTTTTATGAGAACTACACAATATTTGTAAAAGGTTTCTTACATTTTGTTATCCACCTCTGAATATTTTGGTTCAAGAGCCTACAAAAAGGAATTTTCACTTGTAATTCAAATCATAGACGCAAAGAAGCAAATACATATTGTAGACTTCTGAGCCTACATGCAAATGTGTGTACAGGGAGAGCTTTGGTTAAGGATTTTTTATTTCCCTGACTGGACAGAGATACTGAGAAATAGGTCTTTTGTTTGTTATTATTTATTTTTAAATCAGGATGCTGATAATACAGACTAAAAGCCTAAAGTAATCATGTAATTATTTCTTTTATTTCTCACTCCTGAGATGTGCCATGGTCTTACAGAGGCTGTTTTGAAGATGATCTGTGAACCCCATCAACAGGCAAGCAAGAAGTGACTGATAACCTTAATTGTTTATGTCTAAGCCTTGAAAACTATGAATTTTTCATGAGTTCCATGAAAAAGGGCAAGCCAGAGGCTTTCACTCATGTGATCTGGGGAAGGGGTGTTTAGAGCAAATTCTATTACTTGGGTTTATTCTTTGAAGCAGAAATTAAATTTCAAAGAAAGCAAGCTTCATGTGGTTAGATTCAAATAACATTTTAAGAATATTATCTTTTTAAATCATTATTTGTGCTAGTTAAAGGACAAACATATTTTCATGTCACAACTCCACTGTTCTAGAGGGTCTGTCAGTAATCAATAGTAGTATTAAATGAATTTATGGAGAAAGATGCCCCTGAAGGCTTGTCTGTCTTGGCAATGTTCACAGTGCTGGGTAGTTAAATTAAATGATAACATGGAGTAGACCCCACATGTACACTTCTCCATTCAGTTTAGGCTCTGACAGAGACTGAATGAACATCGGACCTGAGCAGTTCTCATAAATCCAGGGGAACATGATCTCCAAGCCCAGGGGCTTTACCTGGAGCTGGGTGATTCACCATGAATTGTATTGCTCAGCTGTTTGCTCCTTCAGGAAGAGCCAAGAGATCCAGACAAAGCTCCAAAGCAGGCTGCACATTACAAAGGAAAACTCTACAAAGCCTCCTCCAATCTTCCTTTCCTCTCCTTGGTCTCTCTTATTACACCTTTTCCTTTTTTTAAGCCTAAAATTGGTCATTGGGTGCCTGCATCTCAGTTGGAGTGTCCCAGTTTGAAACAGCTAGGGTTTTAAAACCTGGATGGATGGGTCTGGGAGCAGGCTGAGGGAATATCAACATCCTTTGGAAAGGCTGGTCAACCTACCAAGGAGCCACACTGGCCCCTTTATGTGTAGTGACTGTAAGAAATAAGAGACAGCACAGTTCAGAGGATTGGTTTGTTTGGGTTTTTTTTCCCCAATGAATGGGCTCTGAGCATTGTTCTCTTGTTTCAAACCCAGTTTGAGCTGAGAAAATTAAATAAAGGACAGGACAGTTTCAAACAATGCTGCCTCCTTGCATCTTTGAATCCACTGGATTTGATGGCAGCAGCCAAGCAGCTTTGGCTGAGTTCCTGTGAATGTTTTGGGTGTTAAGCAGGTGGACTTGCCCTGTGAGTGGGATTGTGTTTCTTATGAATTTATATGCTGGGAACATTTCATCCCAGCGATGCTCTGCACCATGTTGCAGATAATTTCTACAAGCAACATCATTTTCCTTAATTTCTCTGGAATTTTCCCATGGGGGAGTAAAGTTAATTCTGTTGGGAAGGAGCTGGTTGCTGACTGTGTTATTGCTTCTCTCTTGCTTTGTATGAAGACACTCACTAGACCTGAGGAAAACGTGCTGCTGTGGAGCCAGTATTTCCAAAGGAAGTTTCTATTTCAAATGGCCAAAGGGGTGATGTCTGAGGTAGGATCTACCCATTAGTGGCTACACATCACTAGGCAGATGTAAGTTGAGAGGCTGTTATAGCTTTAGGTATCTAGGAGATGTTATTAAACACTGCTGGGAAACTTGTTCCCAAACCTGGGTAGTGGTAAATGTTGTAATGATAGTAACATTGATCTGGAAATCAATTAAAGGAAGGTGGATGTTTTGAAAAGGCAAAAGGCCTGCTGGGGAAATGAGGAGTCAGACAAGGTGGGATCCTCCTTGTGCTTTTCCTTCTCCCCTTTGTCTCTGACCTTGATTACTTGGCCTTGGGAAACTCTCTTATAAAAATCTCTGCTTTTCTAAAAGTTACTCTTTTCCTTGTATTTAGACAGTGCCTAATATAATGAGGCCACAAGTCTGGGAGGACCCTCTAGATGTAATGTAATACAAGAAACATGCAGTAATGAGGCTGAGAAAGAGTCTGTGCTGTCCCAGATCTGCCTGCATGCCATGCAACCCCCCACCAGAGGTTTCCTGGCCTGAATCCTTTTTGCAAAGAAGGTGAAAGGAGAAAGTACAACATACCCGTTGTTTGGAATTCAGCATCCCCATCTCAAGATCATTTTCACAGTTTTTGGCCTTAGATTTGCAGAGTTTTATGAGGCACATTTTTATTCTCAGTATGAGATAATAAAATGATTTAGGGCTTGGCACTAGATTAAAAGGAGCAGGCAAAGTCCTTCCTTCATCAAAGTATGATAACCAGAGCTTGGCACGTGCAAACTTCCACTCCACATCTGCATCCTCCTTGGGAAGGGAAGAGAAAAAAAAGAACACATCACCCAAATGCATAATTAGTAAATAGGAAGGAATTTAGCTATGAGAAGGCCAAATATACAGGTAGGTTTTAACTAGAATCAGATTTCTGTTTGCCAAACCAAGACCCTTGTACACAATGTGTCTGTAGGTTGCTCTGTGGTAATCTCAAAATAAGGGAAATTGGAACAAAGCAATGGAGTAATAGAGAGTATAGGTCCTCTAAATACTAGACTATTTCCTTGGATATCAAAGGGGTTGTCTTTCAGCAGCAATCTGGTGTTTGTGCTGTGCTAATAATGTGTCAGAGCACACACAGAGCTATGGAAAGCAGGCAGAAACATTATGTGAACAACAGCAGCAAAGACTGTCTGATTACCTGCAAGGCTATCTAACTAACTGCCAGCTAATTGTTATTGCTGCATTGACCAGGAAGTCCCCATAAAAGACATTAGGTTGCTGACTTCTGTCATCAGCAGATTTCCTCACGGACCTTGTTTGCATTCCCTGTCACGTATCCCAAGATCAATACACCTTAACTCTGTTGCTATTCACCTCAGTGGATGAAGGTGGAGAAAAAGTCCATCACTCAGTGTCTGTGAAATCTCCTTCATGAACAGTCAAGGTGAGTCAGGATCACCTCCAAGTACAAGGGCAAGTTAACACATGATTTATGGATCTGTTTTATGCAGGAGATGGTCAGAGTCATGTATCAGGACCATTTATCAGGTAAAAGAAAGAACAAAATACAGCTGCTCTACAGCTGATTTATGGTGGTTTGTATGGAGGCCATCAGCATCAATAGAAGCAAGGGTCTACCAACGCCCTGTACTCATGTACATCTGTGCTGTGCTGAAATAAATAACCTCTGATTACCCTGTACCTCTGAAACCCAGTCAAAAACTGGCATAACACAACTGAGATGACTTCTGTCACAGTTACATCAGTATGTCTTCACCAACAGAGCAGCATTCACTTCTGCTGTTTGGTCTTACTGCTTGGGGTTGCACCTCGTGGAAGTCATAAGCTGCATTACAGTAGAAAACACTTGTGAACACTTTCAATGCTTGTCTGTTAAGCAGTTAAGAAACTACTGATGGAGGTAGTTCTGGTTTCTGGCTGGAAAAGGACTTTTTTCTTCCATAAATACAAAGTTGGCAGAAAGCACTAATACTTGAGGCATGAACAGAAGAGAAACAGAAGAAGCTGAAGAGAGGTGTTCAATGGAAAGCATGAGAATATGGTCTTGTCACTCCAGCTAGCAGTAAAACATGTCCACACTGACCATAATGAAGTGTAATTCCTAAGTGATGACCATCCTCTGTTGTTATTGGCATTGCTGTCATCAGACAGATAAACACACTGGCAAAAGGGACTTTCTCTGCAGTCACTAGGATGACTCTGTCTCTCATCTCCTGCCTGCTGAGGACTGAAAGGAACTAATATGAGTTTTACTAGTTTTTCTCAGTTCCCAAGTCAGAAGTTCTGGGCCAAATAGCTCATACTTGTATTGCTTGCTGATAGCTACAAGTAGTCTCTAAGAAAGTTCTGAAAATTTCCAAGCAATCAAGGAGGATGAGAAAGCATTTTTTCCAGGAAAAAGGTCAGTGCAAAGTTTAGACTAGAAAGTTAATATAGGCCACCTATTCAGTTATTTTTAGAGATTTTTCTTTGGAAACCTTCAAGAGAATCTCTACCTACTGCAATGAAAAAGAAAATGCAGTCAGAAAACCCCTTCAGAAGTCAAGCTTGTTTCAGTAGAAGAGGATTCAGGAAGATGCCTGATATTAAGTGATTAGAACCCTTTGGGAAATGACTCTGCCTTCAGCATGCAGGAAAGCTTCTGGGGCAGAGAACACATGTAAGGTCTCTCTGACATTTAGACTTAGTTACAGCCTGCACAAGATAGAGTTATATTTGCACTACAGTACAGGGATGAATCAAACATTACAGTGAAAAAATATTTTCATCTCTGGCCTTTTGCAGTGTCAGCTTCTGAGGGAAGATTAGAACAAATAATTGAAACAAAGCCCAACCACAGAAACTTGACATTTAACAAACCAGAAAAAAAGAGGTAACTCAGCATTAATATTCTCCAAATAGATTTTTTTTCCCCCTGCCTTTATTTACATTAGCAGGGAGATGTTTATGTGCAAAGCATGTAGCAAATTCAGTCTGCCAAAAGCAATGCTACTGAACAAGGGTAAACCCTGTAAACACCTTTCTGCAGAAAACTACTCATAGTCCTCAAGGGCTGTGTTTGTATTTTGTAAAGATATGTGTCAAGGTTGTATGCCTGGTATTTGGAAAATATGGATTTTTAAAATATGCATACATGAGCTTTAGACCTAGATGGATTTGGCTGTTTAACCAGTGGAGAACTGGGCAAAAAGGCAGATGAAATAATATTCCATCTATCCTAAGCAAACAATACAGCAAAGGTAACACATATACATAAATTATCATAACCAACACAGGGTGTAGAAAATTACATACATACATATATTATATTAACATATAAATACATTAAACATGTGTGAAGGAAATTGGGTTTACTCACAGGTGGACATTAAAAACAAGGCAGCTGAAGTTGTTCTAGAAACAATTCACTGTTGATTATTAATTCAATCATAATTTGGGAAAGACAGACACAGTCTTAACTCTTACAGAGTGTAAGATCTGTGTTTCAACAGCACTCTAACCTTACAGAATAAGCTACAGCTTCCTTGTTTGTTTGTTTGGGTTTTTTTAAAACATTTTCATTATCAGTGATAATTAAGCACACTGAATTTGTAATCTAGTGTTTATCTTACCTCAATTTCCTGATAGGAGTTGTTGATCATGGCTATTAGCATGTTAAGCAGCACCACCACCATTGTCACGTTATATACTCCATAGAGTACATAGCCAATATTCTCAATGAATTTATGATCGTACTTCAGCACCACAGATATCACTTCAGATAAGCCAAATATTGACCAGAATAAGGTTTTAAAACTCTCTTCTACCCTAAAAATAAAACAAACAATCACTTTATAGAGTGGATACCAGGTTAGCCAGGCCAAATGCTAATAATGAAAGTGGCAATCCACCAACAGAAATGTGGTGCCTTGGCACAGTCATTGTAAACCATTATCCATCACCCAGGGATGTGGCAAATCATATTACCTGATCTGATAAAGAAATATAATTTCTGTTTAATACCATAGTTACAGCATCCTCTGATATACACCATCTGCCCTTTCCAGGTGGAGTATTTGGCACTTGGATTTTGTATCCCTATTAAGGACTTCTCCATGGGCAACTTGCAGTTTGAAACTTTTGGGTAGGGCTTTGTAACTTCTACTCTCACTTACTCTTTTCTCATCCAAAGAAGACAGGCAGAGATCACCTGGGAAAGGGAAGGAACCTAGTTTGACCTTCTTATATGTGATTTCCAGGGCAGAAGAGAAACATTGCTTTTTACCCAGGAGGAGTGGCTGAAAAGTTCTGATTAATGGCATTAACATAACGAGCACACCATGCAAGTGTAGTCAGCCCACAGTCTGATTTTCTTCCCATCTTGCTTTGGGACTGCAGATAAGTCAGGTGTCCAAGCATTTGTGGTAAAAATTTGAAATTAAGGAGTGGTAGAAGATGTTTCAGGAAGGCATTTTGATTTGATTAATATCTTTGCTTGAAATTAGAAAGGAAAAGGTCAAAAGATGGGAAAAAAAAGAAGGAAAAAAGCCAAAAATAGGTCAGAAGGGGGATCTGATGCAGAGGAATCAAAGCCCTAACGGGCAGAAGGGGAGCAACCACAGATGAAAAGGAAGAAAGGAGGAGGAGGAGGGATTCTGGTGTATTTTGGAAGCAGTTTCCCTAATTTTTAATTCAGAAACAGTTTTACCTTCACTGAACAATCCTTAGCACATTAACAGTTAATTACCTTGCCTCTCCCCCTGCCTGCCAGGGGGTAAGAATATCTTTTAAGAAAATAATGCCTTTTATAAATTCATCTGATGAAGTGTTTTTTACTAGGGTGGCAGCTTAATCCTGCTAAATCTGTTCATAAAAACAGATTATAGACACAAACTACAACATATCCTAAGGGAGCAATAATCTTTACATCAGTCCCAGTATCAATTACGCCATGCATAAAAGCAAAATAAATTCATTTTAACCTTTCAAAAGGCTAGTACAGAGCACTAGGCAATTCCTTTCTGCCAAAGCAAGTAGGTATTTATCTCCCATCATAATTTACTGTATTCCATATTGCATTTACAAATAGCAGTAAGACTGCAATGAAAATTTAGGTTGTATTCTCAACCAGTATAACTGCACTGACTTGTGGGGCATAACCCTGAGTGGTGTTTCAAACAGATGGGGCACAACTTCATTTAAAATCTGGTTTCATCTTCAGTCCCCATGATATTCAGGGTCACTGATGCTGTGTTCACTCCCTCTTGGCTGCTTTACACGAGGCTGAGACACCATGCAAAGATAGACTGTGGCTGTGCTGCAAAGTGCCATCACTTTTCCCCTTGCTGGACATTTCCTCTCCTGTAACACCCTGCTCTTGTCTCCTGCCCTCACCTGCAGCCAAGGGGAGCTGGCAGCAATGTGTCAGATACCCTTCACTTTTACAACAGCAATTTGGCCAGTGTTTGTTCTATAAACGTTCTGCTTTCCAGTTAGACAATGTATATAACACCAAAAATCTCTGGCTTTAAACCCCACCACCTAAGCCACTTATTAAACTAATAAAAAAACATAACCCCCAGCCTTGATCCCAGCTGCACCTTGCTATTAACCTTCCTTTTTTAATTTGGAAAGGTTCCCTTAGTTTTCCACCCTGCCGGTAGATTTTAATACAACATGTCAACTCTGCTTCTTTTCCACAGCTTAAGCATTAACCTTTGTTCTGGTGTCAGAGTCTTTTTCAGAAGTTAATTAAGGACTGTGAGCAGCTCTGACTGCCCTGAGAACAGCAGAGGAGGTAGGTAAGAGCCAGGGCAATGGGCTCCAGTGAAAATATCCACAGTCCTTATTCCCATTGTTAGGCAAGATACAAGTACTCATGCTGGTGGGACTGGAAATGTGGTGTGAGATGTGGACCTGACCTGTAGCAGTCCAAAATGGTGCTTAGCAATGCCCCCAGGCAGACACAGGTCTTCCTCTTGTAGAGGAAACATTTCCAAGGAGATCTTGTGCTAGTCCATCCCTACCCTCCAAAAAGCTGCATCACTCATTTTAGATAACTGCCAAATTGCACAACATTTGGCACAGGTCACAAAGCATGTCAGTTGGGGCTGTTTTTGAGAACATCTCACTAAAACACGAGATGAGGAGGTTTGAAGCCAAGTTCTCAAAGATTCCAAGATGTTGATGTGTCTCATCGTTGCCAGCTAAGCAATTTACAGCCTTCCTGCAAGGTCAGCAGGTGCTTTCTTCTTCCCAAAGGCAGACAAATGAAGGAATGGAGGAAGTCAAGAGTCCTGCCCAGACTGACAGGGGGAGGATCTGGCAGTGGCAGATTGACTGATGCTCCCTGTGGAGATGGGTATGCTGCGATCTCCCTCTCTACTGCCATAGAGCCAACTGTTGCAGTAAGGAAAGAGCAGAGATTTTTTTGTTTCAGTACACATAGTCCTGTAAAAATTCAAGGTTTTACATCAAGGAGGAAAACAGACCCCAGGCAATTCTCCAGTTGCAGCTTTTCCTCGCTCTTGTAAACAGCACTGTGTTGCTCATCCAAGATGACCATGGCAAGGTTATAATTTCATGTCAATCTTGTGTCCTCTTTCAGACTTCTTTCCTTAAATGGATTGGTTGGGATTTAACACTGCCAAAAAGGCAATGCGGTCAATATAATCTACAAAATATCCCAGTTCGAGAAAGGAAAATGAGAAGGAAAAAAAAACCTTTAAGCCTTGAAGTATCTTTGGCACTAAGGAGTGAGTCACATTTCCTTTGGGAGAGGAAGGCAGAGAACACTGTGTTGTAGCCCTCAGCCTGATTTGTGATGCAGAAAGCAAGACGAATGCAATCAGTCCTGCCTCCATTTCGATTTTGTTTGCATAGCATGTTCTTAATTACAGGCTGTTTCAAGAGCTGTGTTCTGTACACAGCATATGATAAACAGATAAACATAGCTGGGGTCGGATGCAACTGGTGTGGAATTGGTCTACTTGTCAGCATGGAAGAACTTAGAAAAATAAAACTTGAAAGTACACCATGGTTAGTTGTATAATTTTTGCATTTAACTGTGTGAAGTCCACTGCATCTGTATTCCCTTTGCATCCAGAACATTCAAATGGAAGAAACAACAGTACCTCTGCAGGATAACTCAGTTCAGAGGCCATTGGGGATGCTACATACTTGTTCTGCATATGGCAACACATCAAAATGGAGCACGTGATGTCAAAAGTGCAACAGCAAGGGAAGGTGAAAGATAAATTATACCAAATATTCACTGATTATTATCGTTAGAAGTAAGCAAGCAATTCCCTCTGAGTGTTACTGGCACAAATGCACACTCTTTTTTCTGCCTCCCTAGTGTCCTGGGAAGCTGTGGTTTTCTTAAATCTGTAATTTGAAGTAAATGTTGTCATTTGAAGGTTTCTTACTGAGGCTATCCAGTGAGCTGTCAGTTCAAAGCCTTTTGAAACTGGCCACAATTAATTAGTACACAAATCTAATAGGTCTTTTTCCACCACGACTAGCCAAGTGTTCTCTGAAAATCAGGTCCCATAGTCCAATAGTCACATTTCTGAGTATAAAACCTGCTTTCTCTAAAACTTCACTCATCCTCATTGGAAGTCACCAACATACCCACCAGGAAATGCATTCAGTGAAGTCACTTAAGTCACAGAACATTTATGAGGACATGAAAGTAAGTGTGCTTTAGCTTTGCCCCAGTGAATCTTCACAAAGCTTGAGCTACTTACTCAGCTCTAACATTGAATTTTTCCTTCCTTTCATGAATAAGTTAATGGCAGCAGGAACCTGCCATGTTCAGCAAGGCCAACAGGCAACTCATGGGAAATAGAGAAGGAAATGTTCCTAGAGCTGGTAGCTGCCCATCTGCCAACATAACCTTGTCATTAGCTTATTCAAATTGTTTGAGACTGTATACCTCGGGGTCTCTAGCTTGTTGAATGAGATGTCTGGAGAAGGATTTTCAGGATGAATGTTAATCTATTCTCTTTGTTTTGTATGATGAAAGGGCTTGTTTTCACTGATCATCATTTGACACTCCGGTGTGTTTAAATAATCAGAAGAAAGGAAGTCTACTTTAAATCCCCTCCAAACTCTTAAAAGGAAAATTTATCCTCATGGAAAATTTGCTTCACAGCAACATGAAGTCCCTTTAGGATAAGCAGTCACCAGGCTGAAGTGAAGGAAGAAGAGCACTGCCTTTTGACAAGACTCTCCCCAACCCAGACATCCCTTGGGCATTGAAGCAATCTTTACTCCAGCGAGCAGTTTTTGGTTTAGGCAATGCTTGCTCATTATTTCCTTACAAAGGCAACAACTACTGAAAGATCCACTTAGGTAATGAGTGCTAATGAGAGAAGGACCACACAGCACTGCATCAGAGACTGGAATTTGTCAGTGCTCCAGTGCTGTGCCTGGGGGACACCATAACTAAGGGTTACTGTGCCACCAGCCAGCCAAGGGTGGTATCGACTCAACTCCTCACTAAGTCTTGTGCTTCAAGGGCATCTCTTTCTCTTCAAATAAGAAACAAGTCGCATCCCACACACTCAATTTTCTTCCACCTTACTACTGAGCACAGACAAATGTAATTGCATCTGGTCTCAATAAATCCTTCCATTAAAATGTAGCCTGAGGTTGCAGAAGAGGTCTAGAAGGCATGTTTGGCTCAGTCAGAGAAAGTAAACATCATATTGCAAGATACATGTTGCACAAGAGGGTGGTATGGTAAAACTGGAAGGAGACAGCCACTCTCAGGACAGAAATGATGCTGAAAAGGTCATTTCTCCCAGAGGAGCTGTGAGCTAAGCCCCCAGCTCGCTGTGTGACACTTTAGGGATATGACACATCAAATGCCAGCTGCTGGCTGCTCTGCATCTGGTGAACACCCTGGGCTCAGGCATTGCAAGCATGCTGTGCTTGTCTGGAAGTCAGATCACAGCAAGGAGAAAACATGACACCCAGCTTTCCTCTGCCCTCACAGATGGGTGTGTGGGAAGGAAAGTCCCCACCGTGTCCCTAGGGCAAGTCCTGGTGAGTTTGTGAGACACAAAGCTGATAGCTCTGGTGCTGTGATGGGGCCACATTGCAGTGCCAGGGAAGAGCCTTTCCCATGGGGGCATGGGGCACGTCCCTCAGACACAGCAGCACACCAGGATGTCCCTTCCTCTGAAAGCTCCTTCAAGACTTCAGCTATCACCTCAGGGGTTGTGGTTTGGGTTCCCACAGCACAAAATGCAACTTTGATTCTCTGGGAGCATCTCCAAACAGTTGTAGGCTTTCCCTTTTCAAAAACAGCCTCAGTTTGAGCATTTGCCAACCTTTTTCTCTTCCTGACAGCCCTGACAAGGTGGAGACAGGATCCCTGGCACAGCCTCCACCACAGGGCTGTGTGGCCACACAGCAAGAGCTGGCAGGTGAGTGTGACCCAGGCAGACCCACTGCCCTGGGTGGCCAGTGACCTGGCGTGATGCTCTGTGCAGCTTTCACCTGGCAGCTGCTGCCAAGTGCCCAGCCAAGGGTTTCAGGAACACAGCCTTGGCATCCTGCCTTGCTTTGTTATTTAGAGCATCACGACAAGCAGCTGGCTCTGCAGATGTGCACCTAATAATCACAGCTACACTCAGGTGGTAGCCTAAAACAGACCTCACACAAGCAACACCCTCCCTTACTTTATGGATGTTTTGGCTGCAGTTTTAAGAAGAATCTTAGGTCTAACCTCTTCTCTACCTCTTCTGGACTGAACATTAAACTGAACATCTCACAAAACATTTTCCAGATCTGTTATTTTGGTTTCCAGAAATAACCATTCCTGGGCTACGTGTCCACTCAGGCCTTAACCTGGCTACTAGGGCTGGGGGCTGTGGTACAAGTTTCATGGAATCAGAATGGTTTGGGTTGGAAGGGACCTTAAAGATCACCTACTCCCAACGCCCCTGCCATGGGCAGGGACACCTTCCACTAGACCAGGTTGCTCAAAGCCCCATCCAACCTGGTCTTGAACCCCCTCAGTGATGGAGCATCCACAACTTCCCTGGGCAACCTATTCCAGTGTCTCACCAACCTCACAGTGAAAAACTTCTTCCTGATATCTAATTTGAAGCCATTACCCCTTGCCCTGTCACTACAAGCCCTTGCAAAGTGTTCCTCCCCAACTTTATTATAAGTCCCTTTCAGATACTGGAAGGCAACAATAAGGTCTCCCTGAAGCCTTCTCTTCTCCAGGATGAACAACCAAAACTCTCTCAGCCTGGCATTGTAAGAAAGGTGTTCCAGCACTCCCAAAGCCTGGCTGTGACTTCCCCACATGACAGCAACAGAAACTATCTAAGCAGACCCTGAAGCAGCAGTAGACCAGAACAGATTGAGCCCTACAAGAGAAGCAGCTTCTCCACAGGTACTCACGTTGTAAAAGCGGGGTTGTATTTTGCACCCAGGTAGTAAGAGTACAGGTTGAACATTCCAATCATGAAGGCCAGGAACACCATGATGAAGATGACCATGAACTTGAAGATATCCTTCACAGTCCTCCCCAAAGAGATCTGCAGGGGGCCGAAGCTTTCGTTGGCTGGAAGAATGTAAGCAATGCGGGAGAAGCTGAGTACCACAGCTATTGCATACAGTCCTTCTGAAATGATCTGAGGATCCGAGGGAAGCCACTTGTTCCTGGCTAAAACAATATATGTACACTAGGTATTAGTAACAAAAAGTGTTAGGTGGAAGTTATGATGATAAATGACCCCTTTTTAAGACTGAAGCTTGGTTTTGGCCAGGAGTTAATGAGTCAAAACACCAAAACCTTTGGAGGAACTGGTCGCTGAAGTCCTCAGCATGCTGTCCAAATAGGGGTGAGAAGAATGGGTTGTGTTTTTCACATGGTAAAGATGAGAAATGAGGAAGTCCCTGGAATCTACCAAAGTCACATGGCGAATAAATAGCATGGTATTTCAACAAATCTGGTCTCCTCCATTTCCTAGCTGGACATCAGCTGGGCTGGGCTTTGCTTTTTCCACCTAAAGCCCTTGAGACTGAGAACCAAAACCACCACACAGTGGAGTCTGGCTGTAGATTTGGATACATGGCACAGTGTCAATATTTGAGAAGGAAGCATTTGAAAGAATGAGAGAGTCTCAGAAAGACTGAGATCCTTGCCATTAGACACAAGAGTTAGGATTTGTTCAGATATAGAAGATATAACCATCAAGTGTATGATCTTCATGTTATCTTTAAATGAAAATCAATTCTTGCAGTCTAGCTGCTAATATTTTTACTTTGAAATGCTTCTTGTTGACACCAGGTATGCATCATTGATTTAATCTACCCAAAATTTTAACATTTATATTAATACAGGTTATAAGTTAATCAACTCTGCATCAACTTGCAATCAACTTTGCATCAACTGAGCTTCTTGATGAAAAGATTGTGACTCAGAGTTAAAATATGTGACATGTTTAAGGACACAGCAGTAAACTTAGGCATTATTTTCAGCAATCTGAACCAAAGGAAAAGCAGCAGACAGAGGGATTTGCAGGATCTGGTTGTTACATTCTGTTCTGGACTCTTTGCACCTTTGTATGATGAACTCACTTTAAATGGGTCAGTGGGAAACCAGAGCAAGGAAAACCACAGCATCACCTCCAAGGCCTCTTGCTTGCCTGGGCAGGCACAGGGGACTTGTCTTCAGAGGAGACATACTACACAAGAGGCTGAGACATTGTGACCAGCTCACCATGGCTAGGAACCCTGGTGTGGGGTCAAGGCATGGGCCTCTGGTGCCACTTGATGCATGGCTACAGTGGGCAAAGTCTCCTGCCCCAGATTTTCCTCTCCAGCCCAATCACATTGCTAAAATAACTATCTTACAACCACAGGGAGCAAATGATGCTCCTTTGCGACCAGGTCTTCAGCTCCTGCAAATCCTCCATGAGCAAAAGTCCCCATGGATTTTACTCAGGGGTTACATCTAAGGCTCGCAATGAATACAGTCCCTAGACTGGGGTGGAAAGCTCTGTTCATTTGTGAATATCAAAGAAAAAACAGTTCAGCCACCAAAAATAATGTTGTCAAGGCTATACTACTGCTTGCATTTCCAATTGGTAGCACTTATAGATAATACAGGCACTCCAAAAACAGCTTTTCCCTTGGAGGAGCAGCAGCTTGTAGGTGTAATTGGTGTTTGTATTTCTATTATACAGGTACTGGATGTCACAGAGGTGCAGAGTGCACCAGCAGTTAGAAATGCAACTCCAGATCCTATGTTTGTTCACACATCTCTCCTTCTCACATTTGGAGAACCAGGCAGGTTCATTCATCTGTAATTTAAATTGTATACTCCTTGCTCCCAGCTCATGATTATTGGTTCCTCAAGCCATTTTCTGGGAATGTGATTGACCTGAATGCAGCCTTAGCACAAGATCAGAGACTGAAGGAGGCTCAGATCACAATTCCTTTCTGACTGTTTAGGAATGCTTGGATCTGAGAAGAATAATTTGGTTTAATTAGAAAAAAACCTACATAACTATCACAAAAAGAAAGCTGCTCTTAGCATTGCCACATATTAGCCTAATAGAACAGGAAGAATTAGATAGCAAAAAGCTTCTTACCATAAGTAAAGTAAGCAACTTCAGGGGGAAGGGTGGCATTGCTGAGGTCATCATCCTGAACATACTGATCCACGTACTGTTGTGCTTCGGTGGCTTTGAGGAAAGCCATGAACCTGGCCGTGAATGATGCCACGAAGATGGACAGCATTCCAAAGTCCAGCAGGTTCCAGAGATGCACCACGTATTCCCGTGGCCCCTCTTCCCAGATCTCCTTGCACTCTGACCATATCATGCCTGTGGAAAGGCCAGAACATATTTAACTGACAAACACAAGAGGTGCTTTCTGTATTCAGGCAGAGCTGTTTCCTGGCTAATGGTGGATTCTAAGACAGAGGCAAATAACTCTTCAATTAAACTGTATTTCTTGAGAATGGCTTGTGCCATCTTTTCTTAAAAAAATATTAAAAACTTCAAGCTTATAAGTCCTTTTGTGTGTAGAAGGCAGAAATTTCAAAATTTCACTGTTTGACTCAACAGGAAGGTGGATTTCTGGTGAGGTCAGAGAAAGCACAATTCAGAAATACTCAAGACATTAGCCAATGCTACTGCTGATCCATTTGAAAAAATATAGATTTTCTCCCTTGTCCCCAAAATCTCCTCACCAACCTGTGCCACTGGAAATGGTATTGTTTGCTCTGCTGCTATTTTCCTCCTACCCTAAAATAATGGGTGCGTCCACTTTGGGATTAGACTTTGTGAGAGCAAATCAGGAGTAAGTACAGTCTGACTAGACAAAAGGTAAGACAGAAGTCCTGCCTTCGCAGTACTTTTATATATTAGATTAGATAATAATGAATTTTCGTATGTTGAAGCCTGATCCACCACTTCAAAAACACTGAGTTTAGCCTGAATTTAGGCTCTTTCCTACAAGAGATAAACCTAAATTCCAGACCCCCAAAGTTCAAATGTTTTGACGTGCATGTTCTACTGGGGAATGCTGAGTAGGACAGGTGAATTCAGTGGGTGAACTGGAGCCAAGAGCCCAGGTCAAATTCACCAACTTTCCCACTTTCAATCACATCAGGGCTCCAGGAGCAAACTCTTACTTTTGAATAGCTAAAATATTGGAATATTTAACCCACTGATGAGTATTTCCTGCACTCTACCCAATCCTGTTTCCATAGCAGCAGCAAAATCTACATTTAATCAAGCAGAAGCAGTCCCTGCCAACTTCCACGTGGCCTCCTGCAACCTTGTCCTTTTTGTGAACTCTTCTTCATCCTCTTTGCTGGAAGCTCTCATGATATGGCATGTAAATAAATGCATTTGCCTGGCTTTTTCAGGGATTCCTGAAAGCACTTGGTGTCCCAAGGGGTGCAACCAAAGGCTGGGTCGTAGGCAAGGAAACAAGTCAGTGGGAATCTAGCTGAGGGGTGGAGGAATGAAGAACTGCTGCTCTCAGCAAGGGGAAGGATTTGAGAGGAAAAGGAAAGCTAAGCTATTGATAAAATCATTGGCCAAAGCACAGCTAGTCTGTGACCTCCATAGCCCTGGAATCTCCAGGCAGGTCCTTCGACATCCCAACCTCCCAACTCTTCTCGACTCTGCAGGTGCTTGTAAAGTAAAAGCAGGAACTCCATCCCAAGCTGTCATTCACCACGAGTAAGACTTAATAACAAATAGCCTAAGGGAGATGGTGGAAGAATTGGTTTCTCAGGAACTGTCTTGAAGCGAGGATGAAATATTAAAGAAACATTTCTAGCTTAAAAAAAAGTAACCCAGAAGTGATGGATTTGGGACATTAGCCCTACACATTACGCACGCACGTCGTATAAAGGTACTAAAGGACTTCAAGAAATATCACACACGTGGTAATATTCCCCACTAAAGCACTTGTTCATTGATGTCCTGAAATGTCTTTTCTGGTTTAAATATTAACTCTCCCATCCAAATTTATTTCTCATCTTGGTCACTTAATATACCTGTCACAGATTAATGAAGTAAAAAGTGTCTAAAGCTGAGTAGACGGACTAAAATTAGAATCACTTCATGAAAGTATCCCACTATTGGCCTATAATTCACATCATTCTTTTTTTTTGGTCAAAAGTGTGGCAATCATTTTTTATCTATACATATGGAAAAACGTCTGTTCAGGACAAGCAGAGAAGTTACAGTAATTATTCAGTCGGTACTGCTGGGTAATTTTATATACATTGTGAGAGAGTAATTTAAAGCTTCTCCTTAAGTAAAAATACTGAGAAGAGAATAAGGAGCTAAAACTCAGAGGATGGGACGTAAGATTGGATGCAAGAAATAAGGGAAGGTGACTAGGCAGAGCAGATCTTCCAGAATGTGATTACATTTCAATCTGATGTTTCTCAGGCTCCAAATGGCTCTAGGTGAGGCCCTTTCCCAAGTTTCATGCACAGAGAGGTGGGATATGACCAGGTTCTGCTCTCCAGCTTCTGCATGCCTCTTTCTCAGTTGTCCCACAGCAGGGATAATCAGAAACTCCAAATGACTCTGGGTGAGGGCCTTTCCCAAGGATGCACAGAGAGGTGGGATATGACCAGGTTCTGCTCTCCAGCCTCTGCATGCCTCTTTCTCAGTTGTCCCACAGCAGGGATAATCAGAAAGGTCTCCTTGGTGGGCATTTCAGGTTGTAGCAGGGGAAGAAGTGTCAAGCTATGGGCACAGCTCATCTGGAAGAAAAATGGAAGTGTGCAGGAAGAGCTGTTCACCACCTGTGCACAAAAAGGAACAATTTGTCAGATTTTTATATCCACTGGCACTTAAATCACAAGCAGCTGATGTTGCAGAGCTACCTTTGAGACGTCCTTGATCCACCAAAGGCTCTTGGATTAGGAGAGAGAGTTGTGCTCAGAGTGTGTCTACACAGAGCTTAACTGCTACCTTGGCTGGTTTTGCCTCTTTAGATGAAACTTCCCTGCTTCCAGCACACACTTTTGTCCATACTGCTCATAAGGAAAATCCCAGCCTTCCTTAGTGGAAGGTAAAAGATGGGAAGACTTGTCCACAGCAGAAGAGGTAGCCTAGGCATGCAATGAGCCACAGATGCATGAGCTGAAATTGCCATGCCCCATGGACCAAGAGGCAAGTTTTGCTCTCAGAGCACCATGGTATTTCTCTGCACTAATGGATTTATAATCTGCAACCCTTGGATGCTTGGTCATTACAAAGAGTTAGACCAAAAAGGCATTCTCCCCCTTAAACTGTTAAGTGGCTGTTCATAGGGATGTTAAATGGGCTACTAACACTCCCTGGCTGGTCCAACAGTGCTCTAAAGACATTTCAGAAGTGCATGGATTTTTGGAGCAGGATGAAGTGCTTGCCTGGCTGAAAGTCATTGCCTCTTCTTGGCTTACTTCATTACTCAGCTGCATTACAAGTAGCTGGGAGCAGGAGATGCCAAGGGTAACTTTTTGTATGACTCCAGTCTGAAATTCCCCTCCTGGTAGTTTTCTCTGGAAATATGTATGCATGGATCAATTGTCTCCAACAAGATTAATTGCAGGGACTACTCTCACAGGTTGTGCTCACTCATGCCCACACTATGCTATGTTAATGTATCATATTATCCCCAAATAATGCTATTCTGAACATGCATCATGATTTTGTGGTTGCCAGCCAGATAACTCAGACAGCCAATTTTCTCCCCCTAAAAAACCAAGGTCAGGGACCTGTAAACTAATTTCTTAAAAATGATGTGCTATGGTTGGAATGAGTAATGTGTTACCAGCATTCAGACTCCTGCCATTTGAAGTATGAAGGAGAAAAATTAAAGACTAGAAGCAGAAAGATGGGATTTACAAGCTGAGAATAAATAAAATTACACTCTTTGATTGCACTAGGAATCAAAATGTAGGTAGCACACCTACGCTGTTGAGTCTGAAGACAGCAACTGCAGATGTTGCCAAGTAGGATTAAATATAGTCATGTACATTTAGTGCACAAGAGTTGTTAGATTGATTAACATATGCTTACTGTCTACTCACATTTGTCTCTTTGGAAAAGCATGTCTTGACAGATTTACCTGTGATATTTATCTGTAGCATTCACTTTAATTATATTTCTGCTTCCATATACATATTTATAATACTTGTAAGGTTTTTGTGGCAAAAGGTTGGGCAGTCTGTCATCCTTTGGGCTCTTACAGTCCTTAAAGTTCAGGCTCATACATGGGGCTCAACAAGTGCTCAAGTCCCCATGCACCAAAGTTTCACCTTAGCATTGCTGAAACATCATTTGAAACTTTATGTAGGCAGAGAGGTAAAATGGCCTGAGAAGATTGTCAGTGTTGATGTAGGCAGTCGTTAGAAAATCTCATTATATTCAGAAGTCTGTAGAATGAATCACCCTTCCTCTCCCAGAAAAGTGAAAACCTTTGCTTTAAATGAAATGTTTTCTTCTTCGTCTCTCAGGAACTCATGAGGCAGAGAGATACCTACTGCCTCTAAGAAAAGAATACCTAGTCTAAAATCTAATCACCTTGTCCAACTGCTTTAATATAATTTTAAAAATATATCTTACAGACTTACTCTATCCAGTCTGGCATCTATTCAGTATTTTCTAGCCTAATATCCTGTACAGGATTCTGACTCTTGCAGGGACAGGGAACAAAGAAAGGGTGGTCAGGAAATCATCAGATAGAGCAGTCCTAGCCTGTTTTTCAAGGGGGTTTAGTGCCATCAGTACTTTTGGAACAGTGGAATTATTTGCTGCAAAAAAAAGAATCAAAGGCACGGTGGTGAGTAAAAATAGATATAGAAGAGGCAGACAAAGATTCTGCAGAGTTGATAAGCTCAGTTTCTCACCAAATCCTTCTGAGCTTGTTGAGATTAATGGTTCAAGGTAAGAATAACTTATGCCTATAAGAAAATTAATGCTTCTGAATTTGCCTAAAGCTCCCTGGAAGTTTAACTTGTGCACGTGACATCCTTTTGCACTTGAAGGGTTCATCCACTTCAATCTCTATGTTGTAATTGTTAGATAACTTAATTTCTTTAGCAAGATTTCAGTGCTGTGCTGTCCCCTCACCAGTAACAATTTCATACTATGAATTTCATGCAGTCCAGCTCTTATTTACCCAGCTGTTTTTATCACTTGATCTCAGAGTGTATTAGAAAAAAAAATAAATAACAGTGGAACAGTTTTGTATATGAAGAAACTGAGGTTCAGTGAATTATAATAGGAACTCATGGCAGGGTAATAAAACAGGCTGGTAGTCACCCATGTCCCAGTGGACACAATTCTTTCTGCTCAGTCTAGATAAAGCAATGCCCTCTAAGTGAAGCTATAAATTTCTACTACTAGGTTATATTCTCTAATATACAGTGACTAAGCCACCAGAGGCAAGCAAACAACCTCTGCAGCATTCACCATGCAAAGTGTAAAGTCAGGAAATTAGGAATTTGCTGAGCATCGTTCAGTAGTTTCAAAAGCAGTGACCAAGATCAAAGTCTTCTTTCATCCTCTTTTAATCAAAATACTACCATCAAGCTCTAATTTAGCCTCTGCTGGCTTTTTTTTTTTTGGGAGAGGGGGGATTTGGTGGGATTTATCTGGTTGGGTTGGTTTTTTTCTTCTTTATCTTGTCTCTATGATGCTATTCCAAGTCATGCTGAGTTTCCCTGGAGGACTTACAGACACTTTAGCTTTGCTTACCCAATACCCACTTCATGATCAGCAATTCTGTCCACGAGAACTGAGTTGTTTTGACTCTAAATATTTGTTTCGGGTGGTCTGTGATGGTCTCGTTGGGGAGATTTTTTACTCCTTCAAACCGATCTGATGCATTCACTACTAACAGTCCAAGGAAGATGGTGAAAGAAACTGCATGTGCCACAAACTTCATGAAAGGACTTCGGAGGGTCCGTCCCAGCTGCAATGAAACATACACAGAGCATAAGAATTTATTTTTTAACTTTATCCACCTCCTTGAAGTATTATAAGCATTTGTCCAAGGTGAAAAAGATCCACAGATTAATTCCAGATCATGAACTAAATGGGGTTTAGATTTGTTCAAGTTTTCTTTGCTATTGGTAGACATTATACCCTTGGGATAATTTTCTGTGCTTGGCAGTATCTTATGTTGCTCCTTTATACTGACATTTAATATCTAATTTTTCTGGCCATATGGTATGTGGAAAACTAACAGACAGCACATTTATATAAGAGATGTGTTTGTGTGTGTGTTATATTAATATACTCATGTGTACAATGATGGGCCCACTTCTCATTATTATATATTAGAAACATCTATTAATGCTGAAGTTTTGGTTCATTAAGAATGTGTAGGAAATAGCCTTCTGTATAAAGATTCTTTAGCAATGCCTTTAACATGCTTTGATATGACAGCCTCATAATTACTTTTTCTTATTTCTTTTTCTTCTCTGAGTTTTTAAAATGTCAAAGAAATCTTTCATGAAGTTGACAGAAGAGTAAATCCTATTGAAAAATTTGCATGATTCTAAATACCAAAACCACTTTCCAATAAACAAAATTATATATATAAAAAAATCTGCTCTATCCATGAGTCCTTATTAACATACCATTTTTTTTCTAAGGTCAGTAAGGATATGTTTAAGCAGGAAGATATTGCACTGAATAAAACCCCAATTTTCTTTAATCTTGTCTAGGAATATTATGGCAGTAATAAATGTAGGAGTAAACAAAGTGTGTTAAAACCAATCCCAACATTTATGATGGTGGTTCACTCCTCTGCTGTAAACTTTGGTGCAGTGTTAGTTCTCAACAGCTTTTTATGGTTGCTGTTGAGTAGATTTATGCTTTATAGCAGAACTTATATCCGATGGAGTGATGGAATATGTTTGAACAATGTCCTCTCCATCAATAATCTCAGATGTTTTCCTCATAAGACCTTTTTTTAAGAGCACTCCAATAGCAAGAGTCAAGTGGAACAACTATGGGCATAAGGGGCCTTACCAATCAAGTTTTAAGAAAGTACATTTGCAATTTGTGCAAGACTCATTTCTACCCTGAATTCACTAAAAGGGACAAAAACACTGTCTATTGAACCATGAATTCTCTGCAAATAATTAGACTTTCTCTGCTGTCTATAGAAACTTCTTAAAAAGAGACCTGGGATTAAAGTAGCACAGGCTTGGTTATCAGAGAAATAATGCCATGTGTTACAAAACCAAACAAATTCTGTGGTAATTTCACTTAGTTCTCTACTGCTTTAACAAAAGTCTGCATTAGTCAGTGTTAGATCAGCATTTCATCCCCTTTATTACTGCACAAAGTGTAAGATCTTTTTCTTGAGCTGATGCTTTTCATATCTTCTCAGAAATCTGATTTTTAGCTAAAAGCTAAAGGAGGTGGAAGTGTTGACTAGAATACTCTATAAAAAAAATCAATGAAGTGTCAATTCCTCCAGACATCCTAATGCTTTATGACAATAAATCTATTTTTCAAGCAACATGACACAGTTAAACTCAAGGTGTGTAACTACTTGGATGTATCAATTTCTCAATTACTTTTTAAAATCAAAATACCATCTTTCATCAACTGGGAGTGCAGGGAAGTGCCTGGCTGTCACTGTTAAGATGGAAACACTGGCAGTGTGTGAATACAAAGGTTCATTCTTAAGAGAACAGCTAATTTCATGACTTACTATCCTATCTGTGTCATAGGAGAACAAGAAGAATGAAGGAGAAAAATGAATGTGATATGAAAAGAAAGTTTTCCAGAGGAAAATTAACCCCTACTCCAAGAGACAGGAACAAATTAAGACAGAAACATCATAAAGAAAAAAGTCATTGCTGCTTTCAGTACTATGCTCATAGGAGAAGCATAAAGAACAGTGTTGTAGAAATTTCATGTAATTTAATTGAGGAGGAAAATTGCCAGAGTAAACAGGTACAGGTACAGCTTTGGGTGGAGTGAATCATTAAAGTTCCAGGGTTTAAACAATGCTGAGCCTGTTGCAGTGAACTAGAGTCCATGAATTTCCAGCATGGCTACATGAAAGCCAGAGAACAACCCAGTCAATAAGAACTATGTGTAGATAACCTGTTAGTGTTGCAATATTTGAGTGTGCACTTCAATCAACCAAAGAAACAAAATACTTGAAGTTTGGCAGACAGTCCAAACAGCCCAAACTCTTCTCATTCTATTCTTGTGCAGCAGACTGTGTAGTTTTTTCCACTCCTCTCTTATCTTCTCTTTTTATCACCAGTGAAATAAGTTTTGGACACCAAAGTATAAAGCAACAGTTCATTTCATAGTCATGGCCTCCATGAGGTGGATGAGTCAACACAGAGATTTCAGGATAGGATGGGCTTATGCTCTGCAAGTCTTGTGGATACTTTGTGCAACCAGAGGGGAATGAATGCCTGACACTAAAATTAATTTTAATAAACACAGGTCTATGCAACTGAAATCAAAAGAAGATATGAAACTACAGTTGTGTAGTCCAGTTAATATTATTTCTCAAATTTTTGAGGGTGGTATTTAGTATGGTATATGCCAACAGACCTTTATTAAAGAAAATCTTCTCTTAGGGGCTAAAGGCTTGAAAAAACTATTCCTTGCTAACATACATCAGTGAAGGAGTTATTTCTAGATATGAGTTACTCTATCACTAATATTACTCTAAATATTAATTTCTCTATGAATAAATGCTAAAAGAGTTGGAGTTTCTCAGCCTGGAGAAGAGAAAGCTCCAGGGACACTTTATTGTGGCCTTTCAATACTTAAAGGAAACCTATAAGAAAGATTGGGACAATCTTTTTAACAAGACCTTTTGCAACAGGACAAGGTGTGACGATTTTAAACTAAAATAGAGGAGATTCAGACTAGATTTAAGGAAGAAATTTTTTACACTGAGGGTAGCAAAACTCTGGCCCAGGTTGCCCAGAGAGGTGGTCTTTACCCCACCCCTGGAAACATTCCAGGTCAGGTTGGATAGTTTTCTGAGCAACCTGCTCTAGTTGCAGATGTTCCTGCTCCCTGCAGGAAGATGACCTGTAAATGTCCCTTCCAACCCAAAACATTCTATGATTCTATGTGAAACTGCAGAATTTGACCAATCCATCTTAAGAATGTGCTACACATCCTTAGGACAGCTTATAGGACAGTTCTTATAAGCAGTATTCAACATTACAGAGATTTTCTTCATTTTCCTCACTGTCTTCATCTGAAAATGAGTCCCTGAGTCATGCTTCATCATCCATGTGTTTTTCAAGACAGGCCTGATTTGATTTAGGTTAAATAACTTAGCTGATCATTACTATGAAAAAATTATTTCATTACCCAGTTGTGTAACATCAAAATTGTCTCCATGACTTAAAACCAAACAAAACACTTGTCAAATTGACCAGGACAAACCCAAGCTGCTCAGAGCATCACACACAAATCTTCTGGTAACATCATCATCCTTTCAGTAGATATGTTGCCTCTGTAGAGCTCTCTGCAGTAACAGTGAGAGGATAAAAGGCTCATGCACCAGCCCTCAGCCCCTGAACCTTTTTATGATGATTTTGGGTGAGGTACAAATTCATGAGGAAAAATGCATTCATTATTCAGTCATTTCTATCATAGGCCCTAATCAAAAATCAAGACTACATTGTTCTGAACAATGCAAACCCATGCAATAAAAGACAATTCCTGCAGAAGGAGCTTTCAATTTGACTTTATGAAGTTTACGTATGGTTTTTCAGTCTAAAGTGAAGTGAAAAGAAAGTGGCAGTGAAAAATGAGAATGCTTGAAAGGTTTAGTGTAATGAAGTCAGTTGATGAAAAGTCCCCTTCTGCATTTTTTAAATTTTTATACACCTACCTCAAGAAATTAAACCCAAATAACTTATTTCTTATTTCTGCTACCTAACTGATTTATCTTTAATTTTTTCTTCTCAGTGTTTATACTTTTTATTTAAATTCTCTGCTTATTTCTAGCCTAATTGTTCCCCACCTATTGCTGTATTCAGATGCAACCTCTGTAATTCTGAGAATACACCACAAATGTTGTTGTTGGCTGGTGTGCCAATTCCCAGGACATTCAACAGAGGTGAAGGAAATTAAACAGTTTCATAAAAAATCTGCTTGGCTGAGATGTGAGAGCATCAACATGGTAATTCCACACATGAACTCCCTCTATGACCTAACCAAAACCAAGTGCAGCATGACCTGGCTTTCACATGCACTTCTCTGTGTGAAACTCTGGAGTCCTGTCCAGTATTCATGAAAGCTGTGGGAGTTTGTGTTCATAAAAACCCTGAGAAAATGAAGTTACATTCTCAATTCCTCTAAGAGAAAGTACTTTTCTTGGAGTTACTTTGGAAGACACCAAACCTTAAACATGGTTTATTATCTCAGCTCACTGCTTTTAAAGGAAAGAGGAGAAGATGCTTTCAAGCCTGAATATATTACTAGTGCCAGGGGTCATTTTGATCAAATTTAAGTACCTCTGATAAGTCTCCTACTGAAGAACTCTGTGTTTTAATAGAAGATGTTGGTGGCTATTGCTGAGTGTGAAATGATCTTCTTTCCTGCCACTCCTCTGCCACCAACCTCTGTGGCAGAAGTAGTAGTGAAAAATTCCTCACTCAGCCACAGACCTATTTATCTCCACTCGTTTGAGCAGACTCTTTCAGGATGGAAACCTCACTACAGATTTCAGACCACAAACAACTCAAGCTTTTGCAGAAGTTATTGGTTGGCTCTGGTCCTTTGACCTCTAGGTCTCAGCAACACTCTCCTGCTCCATCTGATGCTATGAGACATAACACAGCTGTATTTAGGCACATGACAGTTTTCCAAGTTTCATTATCTCTTCCCTCAAAACCATATTGTGTTGTAAGATTACAGCAAGTCATCCCTGCAGCACTAAGCAGTCCCCTGGGGCTTGTCAGAGTATCAGGCACATGTACCATAATAATGCTCCACTAACTAAAAATACAAGATCAAAAAGAAGGAAAGGGAAGAAAGGAACTCTGAAGAAGGGAAGAACTTGCAACAAAAAGTACAGGAAAGGAATGAGAATTTAAACATCAGAGTTAACTAGAACATCAATAAAAATCTTCTCCTTTAATTATTACCTATTTTAGTGTTTGTTGGATTTTTTTTTTCTTTATCCTATATCCATGTTATCTCCTAACCATTTCTTGCTCCTGTTCTTCTCGTCACCCACTCTCTCACTTTTTTCCCCCATCTCCCTATTTTTACTTGTGAAGATGAACCTCAAACCATACCTAATAGTTCCATTTGTGTGTATCAAGCAACACTTCAAGAAATCTTCTTTAATTATTACCCATTTTGGTGTTTGTTGGAATTTTTTTTTTTCTTTATCCTATTCCCATGTTATCTCCTAACCATTTCTTGTTCCTATTCTTCTTGTCACCCACTCTCTCAATTTTTTCCCCCAGCTCCCCATTTTTGCTTGTGAAGATGAACCTCAAACCATACCTAATAGCTCCATTTATGTGTATCAAGCAACACTTCAAGCTTGCTCTCTACTGGGGCAGTCTTAGAAGATTCCATGAATTGCTTCCCAATGACATTAGAGAAAAATATGTGACTTCATTCCAGGCCCTGGATATAAAATGATCATAGAACCCATGCCCCTCAGTGAGTTTGTACCTTGCTGCAGGGAGCGATCCAGTAGGCTATGGCAAGGAAGGGCAGGCCAATGGAGACCCCAAAGACAGCCAAGAACTTCACAGCTATAGATTGCTGCCGTAAGCCTGAGAGGTTTTCATACCACATGGTGAGCAGCTGCTGCTGGCAGTTGGGGTGAGCAACGAACTGTAGGAGAAACAGAAACAGAAGTATCAACAGCATTGTCTGAAGAGGATGAGATTTCAGTGAATAACCTGCTGAGGACAAGACAGGGCACGTCTTTGTTGTCCAAAATAGTGTCACATACAGAAAACTGCAAACCAGGCATCCCAAATCCCCACACTTCTGCTTCTTGTCTTCTCTAGATAGTTTTGTTAGACAGCAGACTGCCTCAGCCAAAACCCAACATCCATCAGTGGCCAGTACTGACAAAATACCTCTGTGGGCAAGTTGCCTCCTGAGGTAAGACAGTCTACACTGAGAACCAGAAAAGGAGCAGAGAGGCACTTCGATGTCAAGCTGAAACAAAAAGCTGGTAAAGACATCTTTATCTAAAAGTTCAAGATGTTTGTTAAAGACATAGGCCACTGAAATAGTGGCTGACACAGCAGTAATATTACATTGCTCTGTTCACCCTGTACAGACCCCAAGTGAACCATTCTGCAGGTTATTCTCCTGTAAATGACAAGAGGCCTGGCTTGTATTTTGCTACTTTGAATGCTTTATCTCAGAGTACCTCTCAAAAAACAACAGCTCGTTCTTTACTGAACAGAAACAAAAGCCAAATTTAAAAGCAGAAGGAAAAGCTGTGGTGCTCTGGTACAGAAAGCACGTTCTGTATCCTGTAACAGAGACTCTTCTTCAGTTTATTGTTCAGAGAAAAAAGAAAAGGAGAGCAGCAGGCAACTGAAAAGGGCAAATTCTTAATGGCAAAATTACAGCAGCACTGGATCCCACAGAAGAGTTTTATAATAAAAGATTGAACTTCTTTATTTCATACCGTTCTTCAAGGTGATTGAATTTAGAATGTGACTGTCTTTAATCACAAAGGAAGGTAATTAAAAGGCAAAAGAACCAAAAGAAAAGATGGAAAATAAATATGTTGTCAATGTAGCTGATTGCATTAGCAGAACTGAGTGTTTCATTTATGAGTTTTGTGGCTGAATAAGTGTTCTTAAGAGGGAAACAAATGTAAAACCCTCCATTATTTCAGAAAGCAGAACTTGCTGGAGATGAGAGGGAGGATGAAGGGGTAGAGAGAGAAGGAGAGGAGGAAAGCAGAGACTACCATGGGGCTTCATGGGTGTTGTTGCCACTGCCTGGCATGGAGGTCATGGGTGGACCACGTCTGGCAACTACCCTCTTGTCCTGTTCTGAGCTGCAACCAGCAGAGGGGATTTCAGCTGTAGGCTGTGGTTTTATTGCATCTGAGAAGTAGAGAGAATTCTAACTGTGCTTTCATCTTCACTATCTATGAAACCATGATCAAACAGGGAATTTAATGGACTCTTTTCTAGATGTTTACATAATAACAAAACTGTTACTGGGAGTTTAAATGATCAGTTCATTGCTAGTGCAGAATGAAATACGGTTGCACAGTAATTAGGATTGTGGTGGAATGGTGCTCTTCTTTCTTTAACAGCACATTAGCAGCTACTTAAAATGTGCTTCTTCAGATGAATTAGGCTTTGGGGCCTGCGTTTCTTAAAAAGACAAAAAAAAAATTAAAACAAAACACCATAAAATGAGACTTTATCACTTCCACTGAATAAATAAATGAGAGTGAAGAAATTTCATAGGTGCTTTTAACCTCTTCTGTATTAAGTTTTTTTTCCTGGAAATATTAACATTTTACTATGCTTTCTTTTAAACTGTTTTCAAAAGAAGGAAGCTTTCAAAAACCATAATCTATTAATCATCATTCCTAATCCTTCTGAGCATTTGAAGTTTGAGGTTAAGGTGATGACAGCAGCACCACAAGGAAGCATTTCCTGATGCCCCATGTTTATGTTTGGGCCAATGCTGCTGGGGCTTATTAACTTTCTGGCAAATGGGCAGAAAGATGAAGTGGAAGGAAGCTAGACAGAGAATTGATTCTCTTTGTAAATTCTATTTTCAGATATGATGAATCCAACAGCAATTGTAGCAACTCGTGGGAAGGCAAATTACACTGGTAGATGTGCAGCCTTCTGAGATGAAGGTCCAAAGCAACAGCTCTTGTAATTGTTCATTGCATTATAAGAATTGATTCAGACAAAGAAATTCCGTTGTCCTTGGCAATGAGGCAGTCAAAGACTTTGGCTGGTTGGCATTTCAAAGGATTCATCAGACATTTTAATCTGTTCATTTTTCCACTCTGTCTGAGAACGGCTACAGTGAAAATACAAATATAGGAAAATTGAGAAGGAATTGCCATAAAACCCAGTTCATTGGAACAATTTATTTTGTACAAGGCAATAAAGATTGGCAGCGTGTCATAGAGGCTTGATGGTGTTCATCTTATTCTGATTATTACGAAAATGAGGGGAAAATGAGATGAGGATTAGAAAGATAAGAGCAATAGTGAGGTTTGATCTCTTATTTGCTTACAGTAAGCCATACAGTTTTTCATTATGTTTGTTCTCTCAGATATTAATGAAATACACAGTGACCCTTGGACAACACCCAGCCTCACTCTGTCAAAATTTCAGAAGCTGAGCTGAAATCTCATCAGAGATGTTACAAAGCCACTTAACTGTCTCTCCTCTCTGGGAATGGGCACAGGCACCAAGTTAAAGATTACACTCATGCTTTGTTTGGTGTCATAGACACAGGAAAGAACAGAGCTTGAGACAAAAGCTTCAAAGCAGAATGCTGCAAAGTGTAATGAAAAATGGTCCTATAGTATATTGAATTTCAGAGGCTGAAATGCTGCAATGCTTTTTCAAAGTTCCCATTAAATGTTTTTTTCCCTTTCCTCAGTACTGCAAAGTTTAGGCTTCCAAAGACAAACTGTGGCTGCTCCTCTGCTGCATCCCAGAAGAAGAGAGCATCCCAGAGAGGATTCCAAACAAACCAGTGTGGCCAGGGCTGTGCAGAAGGGAAAGACAGCACTGATTGAAATAGAAGCACTGGCAGTGAAGGGGGTTACGTGGGTCCAAAAAGAGTCACTTAAAAACATTAAGTGCTTTATCTCATGGGCAGAGTGAGACCCCTCCAAGCTGGTAAAGGTAAAACAACAGGATCCAGGAGCTCAAGTAAAATGTTTTACAATGCTTCTGAATTGAGAAACCACAGTGGGAGCTTTTCTGGTCACCCTCCAAGCTGATAAAGGTAAAACATCAGGATCCAGGAGCTCAAGTGAAATGTTTTCTAATGCTTCTGAATTCAGAAACCACAGTGGGAGCTTTTCTGGTCCCCTGGCATAGGCATCTCATTAAATGGCAGTGGTTTTTCCTCATACCATGCATACCATTTAGGAAGAAAAATGTATTGTCCTCCAGTTACATCCTATCATCGACATAATTTTACATACATACTTTTCCATAGAAAAATCCTATCAGTTACACACTTTTTTAACTTAAAAAGGTTAAATAAAATAAAATCACACATCAATATGAAGATCCAGCTCAGACAATGAAGCTGTCAAAGTGACATCTTTGAGAGCTGCTGAAAGACACAGGGAAGGATTGACACCTCCGAAAGCCACTGTGCTTTGGAGGATTAAATGAATGAGATGAGTATTTGTCTAGACTATGGAAAAAAAAAATCTCTCCAAGCCTTCAGCTGGAATTGAAAAGGGCCAAAGAAACAGTTTTACACAGAAATAAAAAGAATGTTTTGGAGACCACTGTGGCTACCACATGGAAAGATAATTTTTCCACGTATCTAATTTGATGTATGACAAGTCTTTCTCATGGCTTGTCATGCACATGCTTTGTGGGAGAGCACTTCACAGATCCCATCACAGTGAGAGTTTTGCCTCAGCAAACTTGTTAAAAAATGCAGGAGTTCCACTACACAGACAATAAAGTACCTTTATATCTCTATGACTCTATAGGAAGATACTTCTGATAAAAAATGCTGTAACAGAGAGACTTTCATGTTTTATTTTCTATTAAATTAGACAGAGAAAGAGCCTGTGATGAAGCTCCCTGATCACTGCTGCTCTTTAGTATCAGCACTGCAGCTGCTGAAGCTGTCAGGGGTTAGACACTCTTTAAACACTTTGCCCCAAATACCCCATGGCCCCTTCCTGAAGGGCATCTCTCCTATCCTGTGGTACATAACAGATAAGCTACAGCCAGGTGACAAAACTCCAGAAAATTCCTGAGAGTGTCAGACAATGCTCATACACCCAACAGAAAAAATAAAAAGAAAAAGGAAAAGGAAAATCTATCTTGGACAGAAAAATGCTGTTAGTAGCAATAAGGAAACATGGCAAGACAGTTCAAAGGCAAATGTCAACCTCAGATGATTGGAATTAATCATGCAGAAAAAAAAACCACAGTATCTCTATTTTATTACTGAAATAATTGTAATTCCTTTATGAGTACAGAAATCTACCACTGAGGCAAAAGAATTAACCACTCAGACAGGATCATCTTGCTTTGTTAAAGCACCCTGTGCTAAGCAGCCAGGGGCTGAGGTAGGAAGGGAAAACTCATCAGTGAACCAGTGAAAACATTAAAAAAACCTGCCTGTCAAAACTAACAGCGCAAACTTGTGACTTTAACGTCCTGCTCTCACAGAGGTGGTCCTGCTGTGTCCTCTCCAGCTTTCCTCTTCACTGTGAGCCTCAGAACAAATGCTGGCAAACCTCAGCAAACAAAAGCTGCAATCCGGGTGAGCAATGGTGTGTTTAATCAGTGAGTGAGAGCTAGAGAAGGAGCTGCATAAATAGACTTGCAGGAGAACATTGGTTATGTCAAGAGACACTGGCAGGGGCATTTTTCTTCCTATCATGTAGCTGCACTCCTGTCCTTCGAACAACCTTTCTGGGTTCATTATTAAACACTTGGCTTTTGATGTAGCTCATTGCTTCTGCAAGCCTACATTGATTACCAAATTTTAGGCTGCAGCACCTGCTCACAGGAACCCCTGGTTGGGTGGGTGACGCTTCAAATGCCAGGGATCCTAGTGAAAATGCCAGAACCATTTTGATGACTTGTCTGAGTCAATCATCACCCTGTATGTCTGAATTACAA